GATGTTCCTCATCAATAAGATGGCAAACACAGCAATGAGAACAACATACCCCTGTGGCTGCATCCACACACTATTAATTTTCACAGTCTTACAGAAGGCTGGGAATGTTAAACTTCACAAAAAAACAACCAAAGCCAAATTAAAAAAAAATAAAAATAAAAAAAAAAATCAACCAGCCAACCAAAAAATCAACCCACCCTTTCAAAACCCAACAACCAACCCAAATAAACCTGTCAAGCACAGCATTTATCTCTCACAAGCCATAACCAATCTGCACTGCTACTGCCTTTCCCTAAGCTGAAGGTCCCAACATGGGAGGAAATGAAGCCCTGACTGCCCCAGCGTGACATAAAGTGGTGGCAAACTAGAGAGAAAACAAGACATTTCTATTCCCACTACTCACTCTAAGCACGTGCTTCCACTTTTCACCACATTTCCCCCTTTTCCTACCTTCACATCAAAGGCATTAAAGCAAAAAAAAACCAAAACAAAACCCAAACCAGGAAATTGACAGAAAACTATTACAACATAACAACATTTCTCACCCAAAACACCACCTTTCACTACAAAAAAATCTTTCTTAGAAAGAGCTAAACTTAAAACACCCAAGCTTGACTCACCACCGAGGGGGAAAAAGCACATGCTCCTGAGGAAAGCTGGATACTGGGCATGCACAGCCCCTCCTTTGTAGCTTTGACCTTAAAGGCAGATGCCACCTGCTTTCACTGATAGAGGGTCAAATCTGGCACAAGGTGCAGCTGAAGCACCACTGGGCTACATGTGTGAGTCCAGCAACCTCCTTTCAAAAATAATGACTGTCATGACTAGGAGATAGCTGTTTTCCTTTGGTTTTTAATCCAACATTGGCTTGGAGCTTCAACACTCTGAACTGCTCCTGCGTTAATAGTCCAGTTTATAAGGAAACCTGAAATGAATAAGGTATCTCAGTGAAGATGATGTGTTGGGTTTCAAGAGATTCCTATTCTCCTTAGCTTCCCTCAAAAGCTGGAGCTCTAGGATGGTTTGTGCTTCTCCACACAGTATGCAAATTCTCAGTACTGTAAGGACAGTTTATAGATTCAGAACTTCATGGCTTGATATTGGTGTAAAGCCACAGTGTAAAACTTCATGATAAGAAATCCTTCACAGTAGGCACAAGCAAAATGATTTGGAGCTTTCTTCTGTTGTCAAAGTTACAGAATGTTACTTTCTGTTTCTCCCCACCA